ATATTTATAAATTATAAAAATGGGTTTTGGCACGTTTATTTATTTATTTAATCTTTTGTGTTAAATTCTTGTTTGTTTCTCTTCGATACAAAAATTAGTAATCGTTATTATTTTTGACATTCGTCAAATCGAGATTATTTTTTTCATGTTATATAAATTCCTTTTTATGTAGATAACACGTTTGTTGTTAAATAAATTTCTGTTTATTCATCATGCTAAATATTACATCAAACATTGCATGATTTTAGGTTATATCTCATAAGCTCGACAAGTCTTCATCATCCTGGCAACGCAAATTGAGCCTCCGGGGTGTCGTCAAGGTGAAAATTGGAGAATACCGCAAAGATGGCTCCTCATTTCGGGGATATATTTAGCAAAGTCAACTATAATTTATCTTATCCTATTATATTTTCCATAACAACAAGATGGAATACTTTCGATTGAAGTAACAACAATGTTTCATGTTAATTATGATGTAACGTATCCTGCTTTGTTGTTAGGAGAACCGTTGATCGTAAGACTATGAATTATTTCTTGTTGGGAAATATTACATAAGCAACTTCATCAGTGGCGCGAAATCGTAGATTCTATTACTTTTATTTTCTAAATATATCTATAATGCTTAGTCGCAATCTCATTGAATCAATTTCATTGTTTATTGGTTCCAATAAATCCTACGAATTAACTTACTTATAGATTACTTAAGATACTTGATATTGTTATTTTTTGGGTACAAATATTTTACACGGTTACTCAATGCCAAAATACTAAAAATAGCGGTGTTGAAACATTTTTTATTACTAACACAAAACCGAAATATATTCCCGAAAATTAACATAATGACGAAAATGTTTCAGCTATTTTTATTGTAGACATAGTAGGTGGTTCTGTTAATCAATAGTAAAAAATAATAAAAAAATATTTACCAACAATCAAGTAATAAATTCACATTTTTGTAAGTCTTGATAATACATCGCTAAGGATATTATCATGGCTAATAATTATAGTATTTCTTATATTTTTAGTGACACTATATATTTTACAAATAAGAATTTGTTACCTTTTGACCTTGATTTATGATGGTGATATTATTAAAGTTATATTTCATCTAACGAATTTAATTTTCAAAAATTCTTTATTTCTAATTTCTAAAATTCTAAAATATTATCTTCAGATTATCCTTATGGCAGTCTGGAAGGAAAGAGCAGCCCTTGGCGACATTGGCTAAAAGGGTACTTAACCAAATATCCTATTACAATACATTACGTGACGAATTAAAAGAATCAGAAAGATTTTTTTATTATAAAATGAGAAGTTTTATAGAGAAGTGAATAAATACGAATAAAATAATTTTTAAAACAAATATACCTTGACAAATGATACAAATAGCTCTGTCGTATAACATTTATGTTGTTGTTGAATCACTAACAATAAGAGATGTATGCTTAATCTTTAACAAACAGTGGTATATTAATTATAGCCGTAAGAGAGAATTATGACGTTCTAACAATTGAAAAACTTCTTCTCCTTTGTGATTATAATATTATATTTTCAGAAAAATTGATAATTATTACTGCAATTTTAGTATTATTGCGGTACCGATATTATTTTGGTTTTGGTATAAATTTACTAATATATTATACAATAACATATATACGTGTTAATGAAAATAGAATTACAGTTTTTAATTTTTACTTCAAAAAATCTTGAATTTATAATAAAATTTAAAAACTAAATATCGATAAAAATATCAGAGGATGCAATCGAAAAATATTAGTAGCGTATCGATATTTTTTATTTGATAAAAATTTGTGGCAATTTGATCAAATTTTGAAATTATTATCTTTTTATTTTGTAATATCCAAAAGAAATAAAATTTTATAAATACTAGATGAAACATTTATTAATAATTAAATAAAATATAAAAACAATGAAAATTACCGGTATATATATCAACAAAAATAATAGAAAGATATCATATGATAATACAATTAAAAAATACTGATACTTTTAGATAGTTATTATACTCGTCGTGGAGAAGTGACAATATTTTATGTTATAGCGAGTATTCTCGTCATGTAAAAAAGTAGCTAAAATTCGTTATTTAAATAGAAATTTGAGTACAAATTAATATTTATTAGTATATCTCAAAATGTTCAAAATATTTAAAAATAAAAATAAAATAAATCGAAAAAATAATAAACATTATTTATAAAAATACTATATATAGTAAATAAAAAGTAAACAAAACTTGGCTAACTAAGTCTAAAGTTACACGTTCGATCAGGAAATTATTTTCTAAATTGTATTTATATTAAGCTTCAAAAAGTAATTTTACGCAAAGCTGTTTACATTGTTACAAAAATAACATTCAAAAAGAATCGAGATATTGGTATCAACTTGCGAAATGCTATTATGTATTGTATCCTGTTTTATTCAATATTATTCAACAAGAGCAGATAATATTTTCAATTAATCACTTTTCTAAGAAATTGATTTTAAAAATTTTTTTCTTTCATATGCAAACTACATGTTTGGAGTAATAGATAAAAAATGTTAGTAATAGAACTATTAATTTTATAAAAAAAATAAAGTAGTCATTTAATTTTATTTTAATATTATAACAATTACACATTTACTCTCTTTCTTACTCTCTGTATCTCGTCATCACTTCATTTCGACGACACAATTTAGATATATACTTTTCAAAGAGGTCACCACAATTAACTAGTTAAAGACGTTGAATGGTATGAATACTAATATGAAGTCATCAAAGCAATGATATGTTGGTGTGATCGTCTTTTGGTTTAATACCTATGTTTTACCACACACACACAACACTCAATGAATATTAACACTAACCTACCATGCGCGGTCAAATGACCGTTTTGGAAATTTCGATTAGAATTTTTCGTATACAACGTTACTGTATCACCATGTAGCTTCTTGACTTTTCTTATAATATACATACAACCCATTTTTTAATATTCCCCACTTTTTTTATTGTTTACTTTTTGAAAAAAATCCATAGCATGTCTTGTCTACCATGAGCGGTCATTTGACCGTTTGAAAAATTCATGATATTTAAGATTATATTCTTCAAAATCGTTTTCCTTAAATTGTTTTACGAGTCACCAATGTAATTGTGGATCTATAATTTGGACAATCGAACGATTAGAACAAATTGTAGTAAGAGTAGCTGACAAAAATACAATTCTCCAAATTCTAGGAATCGCGAATAGAATACCGAACGCGATAGATAGGTGACTATCGATAATCTTCTTATTTTTGTCGATGGAGTGAAACACTGTGCTCCTAAAATAATATTTTTTATTTTTTGTAAAACCTTTTCCCTTGTATCTTTCTTTTTGTAAATACGATCAGAATTTTCTGTTCCGATAAATACTATAGGTGTTCCAATAATTGACGGAACGCAAATGCATAGCGGTCTTTGTACGACAGTACGGTCTTGCGATTGAACAGTAAGCATCCAAATTTTACAATGTATAATAAAAATTATTACGTCGTATAAGTGATAGTTTCGACAAAGTCAACATAGTTAACAATATTTGGTGTGTGTTTTTAGCATTTATATATGTGACCAGAAAATGGTCGAATATCTCCCAATGAGTTCCACAAAAAGATTTAACGCTGGAATGAGTGAGATAGGACAGGATAGATAAATGAATACTACAGTTTTACGCGACACAAAGCTGCTTGCCTCGGCGTAAAAACTCTCACGGAGTTGAGAGAAAAGCCGGGGCAAGAGAACAATTTATTCAATGAAAATGGTATAATGTATAATGACAATCAAAAGGCTGAAAGAAAATAGATTATTAAAATAACGGCGCAAGGTACCTGTTGGTCGCACGCTAGAGAGTTCTCTTACCGTATGCTTCGACGCGAAGCGATAACCGAACGCACGTTATCTCTTGTCGCACAACGCGATACAGTCACCTAACGATGGCCTGTCTGGCCACAACCTTATCCCACGTTGGTAGTCCGGCGACAGGTTGCAGGTCTTTCGCTACAACTGTCCGACTACGTTGTTGTTGGTGACAAGGCACCAGACCACCCCTCTCTGGTGGCAAGACACCAGCTACTATCTCCTACGTTGGTAGCCTGGCGACAGGTTGCAGATCTTTCGCTACAACTGTCCGACTACGATGTTGTTGGTGACAAGACACCAGACAACCTCTCTTTGATGGCACGACACCAGCCAACCTCACACACTCCTCACTCACTCCCACACGCTCTAGCTACGTTGCCTARAACAAGAACAAGATGGCGAAAATGCTCAAATTGGAACCACACTGCTTTATGCTCAAACCAGAATAAATGTCAGAATGCGAAAGAAGCGCGTGCACAAGGCCCCACGCATCCTATCCCCTCCACACACCTCAAGGCGCTCTCCCATGCCTCTTGCATGATAAGGCGTGCCCGCATGCATTTCGACAGCCCTTGCGCGCGCTCACAACCTTATTAACGCCTACGCCGCCTATCCTATTCCGCGCGCAATATAAACAATTCTAACACCGTAAATATCGCCGAACAGTGTGGTATGATTTACAATTATTTTATTTTTATTTCTGGTCTTAATGTTTTTGCCCTGTTTGATTTATAATTTTATATTTTAGTTTTTACTTTGTCATTTGTATGTTTATCCCCATGAATATCAAGACGATCAAGGAATATCAAAAGGAATATCAATTCAGTAGACAAAAAAAAATAATATCGATGATATTCGTTCGGAAGATTGCCAAGAAGTTTTCAATACTAATAATGATATAGTAGAAAATAATTGTGACTTATTTGACAGCGATTCAGACGAAGAGAATATTTTGAATATACGAAGAGGACAAAAAAGAAAGAGATTTATAGTTATTTTAAAAGTTTACCAAAATTCGGTGTAGATGTAACCGATCAAATGGCCAGAAAATATAGTGTGAAATTTAAATGTCATAGATGGTCTTTACAGATATTTTTCAATATCCTAGATTTAGCCAAAATAAATGCTTGGATTTTATATAAAGTAACGACGGGTGAAGAAATATCAAGGCAATAATTTTTATTTCAATTAGCAGAAGAGCCTAGGGACTGACTATCAGAAGGAAGGACAGCTAAGCAATGAATGTTCAATAGAAACAATAATAAATACAGCTACAAATTCTTGTGGACAGAAATTTTGTCATATAAGATATTATAATATAAAGTCAATTAGACTAACAAAATTTCTATAAAATGTAAAAAAAACGTATGGGGACAATGTGCAATATATAATGCTGTAATTGGTAAAAAATGTGCAAAAACTGCAAAAATAAAAAATTGTAAATAGAAAAGCAGGGAGCGGGTGTCTTTGTAGCACCAGAAAAATATTTTTTTTAATATCTAATTGGTAACAATCTCTTTTAATATTAAGATACGTATGGTTTTTTTGGTAGGAATAAGTATACATGAAATGTCGGTAGATTTAGTATTAATAAATAAAAAAAATTACGAATTAGATTAAATAAATTAAATAAAATTTAAATTAAATCGGGCAATTAAGATTACAAAAACTTCAGAGTATTATCAAAAATATTTTATTAGTAATAACAAGGATATAACATATATTATCGCCAGACTTCCGATAGTAAGTAATATAACGTACGTTTATACAACGTTTATATACATACTATCTTTCTCTTTATAGTTTCTAGAAATCCTGCTGCAAATGATAGATATAAATAAACTAGAAACTAACATTATTATAAGGTCTTTAGAGAATTCAGTATTTAACATCATTTAGCGACGATTAGTGCTTTGGAGCCAGAAGTTTAATTACTAGTCTTATTCAGTTTGTTCACATTATCTTGAGTTATAATTTTGCTTTATTTATTTATCTGTTTTACTTATTTTACTTTACTTACTGTATTCCTGTTTATATTTATTATATTATGTTTATTTTTGTATGTACTGCAAATAATATA